GTTTGTTTGAAAAAACAAATATACGCGATTTAAATCCGGAAACATAAGAACTCGATTAATATAAGGCATTATATAGTTCCGTAGTGCTGGCAACATTGAGTTTGTACACATACTAAAGTCGAGTTTTTCCTTTTTGCGCACCGAACAATAATGGTCGTTATTGTAAACTTTGATAGACGTTTTTATATTTCTTATTGGTACAGAACTCCAACAAATACAATGGCTTTTCAGCCGTTGCGACGTCAGTGAAAAGCCTAAGAAAGTTTTTTCTTCACTCAGCTAAGTACTTTTACAGCTACAAGCTGCGTTGTAGCTAGCAGTTGTCGCTTTATTAATTTGCAATATTTATTTTATTGCATATCATATTTTTACTAACTTGATATTCATATATTTTTTGTAAGGCTTTTACACAATTCTACTTCTTTACATTAAGTTAATCTTTATTTTAAAACTGTTAACTACGGCCGACTCTATGTCTGCTATTTTGTTATTCCGTTGACCAATAATTTGTCACTGATTCTTCCGTGTATTCGGGTGCTATGTTCTTTTCTTTGCTCTCAACGACAATTCAGGTAGCCTACCGATTGCCAACTTTCATTGGTGGCGAGGTGGCAAAAAAGCCTTTAAAACAAAAAAAAAACAGGCCTTAAATGGGATTTCCAGGTGTCTGACGTTTGTCGTAGGGTTACAAACATCTATACTGATTTAAGCAGTTTCTTCCTATGAAGACCAAAACTCTCCTTGTTTACGGTCTGATGTTGCCTGTGATTGATTATGCTGATATGTGTTACGGTAACATCTCTGAAGTCTCTTTAAACAGATTAGATCGTCTTCTTAACAAGTGCATTAGGTTCATTTTTGGTCTACGAAAGTATGACTACATCTTTGCTTTTCATCGTCAACTAAATTGGCTTCCAATTCGTGAATGCACGTCCTGAAAAATTTTAACCACTTTTTTCTCCATCGTGTTCGACCCGCCTGCACCTGACTACCTAAAATGTTCTAATTGACTACCTGACTACCTTAAATGTGAAAATGTCGCTGTCAAAAATATATAAATATTATTTTGAAAGGAGTTCTTTTTTATCACAAGATATTATCAATTTGCGACAAGGAGTACACTATTTACATAGAGAAAGAATACAATGTGGTGAATTTCATAACATATAGAACTCATCCACAACGCATGCCGATCTTGTAATGCCGTTATAAATACTTCTATATTCATAATTAAATAAGCGATAAGCAAATAAAAACAAAATAACTTGTTTTAAACGCTGCAGAGCGGGCGCTTCTGTCGGGGTGCGTGTAGCGACTGTTTCGTGCACACTATGGAACTTTCTCGTACAATTGTTCTGGTCGCCCGCAAAAACGCGCGTCATATCATCCAACGCTCGTGCAAACCTGCTCGTAGCAAATTTTGCTGCAAGTTGCAGCGCTTTGTGGCCTTTTACATGTTAAATCATGTATTTATTTTTACATAAAATATAAGTGCGCATTTGACCTCCATCTCACCTGATGGAAAGTGACGATGAGGTCGACGATGGAGCATGCATACCTAAATAATGCCTATTCACTCTCGCCTTGAAAAGACCCAAATTATAACGTTCAGGGAAAAAGCCTGCAGGCAGGGAATTCCACTCCATAGCCGTTCGCCATATAAATGTGGGAGCGTAACGCTTCGTGCGAATCTTTGGAATATCCACAACATAGGGGTGGAACCCACGCCTATATTATTATTATATATTTGTAATTGACGCTTGACGCTGTCGCTTGTAGCGTCAAGCGAATTCGCTTGGAGCGTCGCGGCTCGTGGCCCTCGGGTTAGGTTAGGTTAGTCACATACTGTCGGGGTGGAAAGCTAGAAGGTCGGGATGGAAATAAAATGAGTGTTAGGACGTGGTGCAGTGAGAGATGTAAGTGTAGTGTGAAGGTGAAAATAGTAGAAGATGAAGACACGGAGTTGGAGATCTCTGCCCTCAACTCTTAGTCACTGAGAACAGAGGTGCAGAACCGAAGAACAGCGAGATTGTAAACTGGATAGCGGCTGTCGAGCGGAACTAGGGAGCAGCGAGGAATGACAACGAGACGGCGGTGGTAGTGCAGCAGCGGAATATATCATATCCCTGAACAAATTATTTTACAAGAAGCTCAACTGCTACGAAAATGACGCTTGAATAACGCGGTCCATATTCTAAATAAAATTTGTGTTTTGTCAATTGTTTTGAAAAGAAAATCGATTTTTCCAAATTTATATTGACACTTAAAAAATGAATACCTACTAATGTAAAATTTATCGATAACATCCATATTACACACGTTTATGTATACGTAGACTATAAACGTGTGTAATATTGATGCAATTAATTAAATAGTGACAAAAAACCAATAAAGGTAAAAGACAATGCATTCAAAGCAAGTACTGATAGTTTACCGTTTCGGATTAATGATATTGATAACGTCCATATTACGCACGTTTACGTATACGTAGACTATATGCGTGTGTAATATTGACGCAATTAATTAAATAGTGGCAGAAAAACAATAAAGATAAAAGACAATGTATTCAAAGCAAGTACTGATAGTTTACCGTTTTGGATTATTGATATTGATACAAGTGTACGAGGCTAACATTATAAAAGGTAATCATGTTTAATAAAATATCAGAAGTAGTTAGTCATCATGATCAAGTTGATACTGTTCGGAGCCCTTGTGGCCAATATTATACTTATAACGTTTGCCACTAACACGGGTATAATAAACTTTTTTTTATAATTTGATTTTACCTTGTTACTTATTACCATTCATAGGTAATAACTTTGTTATGAAATCGTTTTTTTTTTCTTTTATGACTGTGTGACCATTTACGATCATCGTTATCGTCGTCTTCAAGTAGCTCACCATCGCATTCCAAACAAAATACCTGAAGTACAGTGATAGCTATACTTATAGTACCGGCGCGCTATGATGGCCGTTTTGACATTTGGCCGCTCATCAACGTCGTCACTCGTCTCACGTCAATGTTGTCAATATTGACGTGCAGTAAAATTTATCGATGTATAATTATTTACGACTTTATTATTATACGATCATATTAATTATACTACGCAACTCGGCATTAAATTAATTTTTCAAAATTTTTAATTTTTACAAATGAAATCTAATACGATCGTCATTTATAGGATCGCTATCCAGCACAACTTCTACCTCCGGCAAACTCGCGTCAAAGCTCAATGCAAAACAAAGCAGTTTCGAATTGACGATATATTTTCCTTTTATTAAAACTTTTTAATCAGCTACCCCGTGCAATACTAGTTACAAATCTAAAAACTTATAGATGCGACCCGCATTGGATTATATTTTTTTCGATAAAGAATTGAGATTTCCCTCTCTATTGTAATCTGTCAAAACGGCCAACATAGCGTGCCGGTACTGTAGTAGTCAGAGTAATAGCCAGTATAGCAGTAGTCAATGCAGTAGTTCAACTTGTATCAACTCTAATTCTAATACTTTTTCAGATTGTGATGATAATAACAACAAGCCAACACCTAAAAGTAAGTCATCCATTTTACTTCACTCTCAGTGTTGTAAATATATAATGATTATTTCAGACATTTAGTGAATGGTTATACTAGAATATTCATGATTTTCATAGTTATAAATACAACAATTATTTTTAACAATTTTATTTTTCTGATTACATTTCGATGCTTTGCTTTCCCAATCACGTATCTTATAAGGAGTAACTATTCAGGAGATGGAAAAAAATCTATTCTTTTTTTGCAATTACTTCTTCTCTTTATTTCAAAGGCGTTAATTTGGATGCATTACTTTAAGAAAACAGTAAAATGCAAATGTGTGTGAATATGAAGGAAATGTGATATGAAATCAGCCTGCCAATTTGTATATATAAAATGCATTTATTGTATTTCAGTTGTTTGTACTTAAGATACGAGTTTGACAAAGTAAGGAGACCATTTATATGGAATTTATGTAGTTTCACGTCATTTTGGAATAAATTGATTTTCATTTTGTTTTCCTTTCGTGCATAGTGTTCCTTTAAGATAAAATCAGGTTAATAGGAATAATAATTCATATTTAATTAAAGAAATTTCTGTAATGTTTTGTTGATTAACCGCTTCTTGTGCCTTGTACTGTAAGAGATGTTGCTCTACCTATTACTAAGCCACCTGAACAGTGCAACCAAATATGGAAACCTAGACACAGTACAACTATAATGAATAAGAGTTTAAATTAGTATTAAAAAAAAATATTCGACAGTATTTTAGAAATTGAAGTTTTTATTACACAAAATTACATGTCAACACAATTTACCTTAAACAGAATGCAAAGGAAAGAACGAACGCTATGAGCCTTGCCCAAATCAGATTTGTCAACCCAAGACTTGTGATGAACTAGGCTTCCCTCTCAATTGCCCTGCTGTTTCTCAAGTCGACGGAGTATGTCAAGACAAACCAGCTTGCATATGCATCGACGGTTACGTTAGAAATAAAAAAGGAGTTTGTATTCCAAAAGACAAATGTCGTGAGTAGACAGTAACACTTAGGATTTTATGGTATTTCAAAATAGTTTTTGTTTTTTTAAGTTTTGTAGTACAATAATTTATAAAGCCTTCTTATTCCGTTTGCGGAATAATAGCATCATGCGGAGGAGACCCCAACGCCAAACCTGGTTGCGGAATAAACTGTGGACGATTATGTTCAAACTATCAACAGCAGAATGTCCCGTGCCCAGAAATTTGTAAAGTCAACGCCTGCGATTGTAAGGGTGGATACGTTTACGATGAAAACACAAATAAATGCGTCAAGCCATCTGATTGCAGTGAGTATAATAAAATACAATCAGATCAATTCTAAGTAGTTTATAAAGACAATTACGTTTATAATAAAAATATCACAAACCATGTAAATTCCTCCAATTCAGTGAATAATTAAAGTAGGCAAAAATAAATAGTGCACGTACAAATAAAATACTCCAACGAAACAACATTATCAAACTATACAGCGGGTGAGAACATAAACAATAATCGTTTGAAAAACTTTTTCATAAAACCAAAACCCAATTAAACCCAATTTTACCTCTTTGGTTTATGGAATACACACATTTATTTAACCATGAAACTCAATTGTAACAATTTTTTAGCGCCTTCCTGCGGCGAGAATGAAATATACTCCGAATGCACCAATGGGGGTTGCATCGGCGCAAGAAACTGTACTGAAATAGGAAAACCCAAACTTTGCATCCTCGTGACAAAAGGCGGCTGCAAAAAAGGATGTCTCTGCAAGGAAGGTTTCTTGAGAGACTGTAACGGTGTCTGTATACCACAGGATCAATGTCCCAGTAGTAAGATATTTCTCATTTTTGTTTTTCTGAGTTTATGTATTTCAAGTTTGTTTCAAGGAGACAATACCAGTCTATTTAGGAAAAGCCTGTATTTTATGTGAGTGCTTTTCCAGAAGGTTTAAATTAAAGATTCTATCTCCACTCACTTAGATCGTGTGATCTTTTAGTAGATTGTGTATAACTATAAATTGGAAATCTCTACAGTTTTCCGCACTTTTATATATCTATAAATGCATTTTGCAAAGGAGATTGAGTTTTTAGAAAACTGTTGATTTTACTTCAAAGGCGAACAGAAATCATTTTATTTTATTGCAACCTACCTCAAACAAAATTAATGATCCCTGTCCCATTGTATGTCCCCATCTTAGTTGTCGTAAATAACATAGCCGAGAAGAAACAAAAACTATACTTATTTCAGCTTGAAAATCGCTCTTTAGTAACTACGTCTAACAATAAGCTTTTCACAAAAATCTAGTTTCTTATGGATAACTTTTATTATTTATTTAGATATTTTTTTCGTATCAATATTTATATTTTTCAGTAAAATGTAATAGACCTAATGAACAGTACGAGTGTTGCCCAAAAATTTGCCCGCCACAAACATGCGAGAGCCTTAAACAGGACTCGTCTTGCGACTGTTCTGCGATGACGGATGTTTGCAAAGGTCAATGCATGTGTAAACCAGGATTTTACAGAAATAAATTCAACGATTGCATTTCTGAAGAAAATTGCAGTAAGAATTTTTTGTGCATTATTTCACACACTTGCTCAGTTTATTCATTTTATATACTGTGTTACTATTAATAGTTCCAATATTTTTACTAAAATATTTTATTACTTACAGGAAAATGCCTTGGACCCAACGAATATTATGCATGCGGCGGTGCTTGTGACAATGTGTGTGCCACTCTGGACAAACAAAGTCAAGACAATTGCCCTATCGTCAATATAAAGTGTAACGATATGTGTTACTGTGACAAAGGATATGCTCGTGATGCTAATGGTGTTTGCATACCCATTAAAGATTGTCCTCCATGCAAATAAATGTATAATATGTTCTTTTGACCCTAAATCGGTACAAACTATTAAAACGAAACTTTATCTGCCAGTCAATGTTTTTATTATAAAGATAGCTTTTTATAACATGTCTATAACGTTAATAGTCTCAGAATAGTGTAAAATATCCCTATAAATTTATTTATGTGTAATAGGAAACTTCTTCAGGTTTTCCTTTAATTTCCAATAGGTGTATAATTAAAATAGAAATAAGTATTGTTTATTGTAGAAACAAACTTAAATATTAAAATATCTATTTTTTATCCCATTTACACCCATTTTCTTTATTGCAATCAATTTCTAAAAATATTTTTTATTATTAATTGTTACACATGAAAACAGAGGGCTTTCAGGTCATCCCAAGTTGATAGTTTATAATTCTTGTTCAATATCATTAAACATTTGATTCACAGAATTTTCGATTTTTTCCTCAATTATTATTATTTTATTAGTTATTCAAGAAACAAACAGACGGTATAAACTATTGTTACAATACCGAAAATATTATATAAAGTAGATTACAGTTACATACTATATATAATACGATACACAGTTTCCTTATACATACGATATACAGTTTCCTTAATTTATAATGTAGTTGAAATCTTAAAGACTATCAATATTTTCTAGAACAATTACAATAAAGCTTTAATTTTAGTTTTAAACTTGACAAAGAATTACAGAAAATATGCACAACCATGAACCTGCTGTTATATGTCTGATATGATAGCATAACAAAGCTATAGCCAACGAAATATTTTCGTGACTTCTTAATTGAGAAAAGTGTATCTTACGACAAAATCTTTCAATTTAATGAGGTACTCTGAAATTTATAAGGTTCTGTAGAGGCGTTGATTTAAATTTATTATTTACTGTTTTATATAAACTGACAGCATCTATGTAATCACGACGGCTCTTGAGCAATCCGGTTTTATATCGATCGGTAGAATGCTCATAATCAATAAAATCATGACCAGTCCCAATGTCATGAGCCTTAATAAATTTCTTTTGCACTCTTTCAATTTTGTCTATAGGGTGTTACAGAAGGGAAGCCATACTGTAATTTTCGATATAAAATTAATCCAGCGCAAAAGTTCGCCGTGCACACCTAGTCACAAAAGCTTCGCAAGTAAAGTATTGTGACAAATTTTGTCAAACGACTTTGCAAAATCGATATACACCGCGTCTACCTGACAATCGTCATCTAAAGCATTTAATATGAACTCTAAAAAAGTTAATAAATTTGTATCAACACTACGACCTCTATAAAAATCCGTATTGTTGAGGAGCAATTAAGTGATTGACCGTGTGGTGGACTTACGGTCCCAAGGTAGGTAAAGGGTGTGTACAGGGTTGATTACACACAAAAAGAATTAGAAGATGAAGGCGAAGAAATTAGGAAAAATAAAAACCTCGTAATCACAGACCACATAAATATTAGTAATAGACTGGTTATCGGGCGGGGTCCGCGTTACCTAGCTTATCACCATATGAGTGTCAACAGCGCGTCAGACGTCGTTCAAATGTGATATGATTATTTTGTGGAAAAAATAGAAAATATTGTGCCATTATATTTTATCATGTCGCGTAACAAGCCAAACTTTAAAAAATACTCCGGGAGTGATTTCCTTCCATCGGTAAGTACTAAAACTCTGTATTTTCTTATATTTTGAACAATACATACTATAATTTCGAAACAAAACTATTTTCTTGCAACTCGGTAATAACAATATACATTGGTTGCTAGCCATCGCCGCCGTCAAAAGAACAATTCGAATGACGCTTAATGAATTGCTTGCACTACTGACGTATTACACTTGGTACTGGGTCCGCGTGTTGTAATCAAATTATCGATATGTAGAAATTCTGTATTTAGAAACCCGGTTTTAGTTTCAATAATAAAAACATGAAACTCAGAGTCGCATTTACAAATTATAGACCACATCTAAATGTGAAAACATTTCTGAAGCATTGTCAGTTATTTTTCGTCAAGTTTTCAGGAATCAAATGCTTCGCTTCTTCGCCTTCGGAAATAAGTATCTTCATTATCTTGACAAGCTCGTCGACTCTATAAGTGTAGCCATGTTCAATCAGTTCAGAAAGAGGTAATTGTTGAACAAAAATATCATATTTCAGAGAGAATAAAGATTTTTATGATGGCTGTGTTTTAATATCCCTTCCAGAGATCGGATTGACTTGAAATTTAGTAGATTAATGAAAGTACGATGACAGTATAATAAATCATTAATACTGTGATTGTAGCATGTAGCTACGTATAGTTACGCATACGCCTGCGTAGGTTATATCAATTAATATTTGCGTGTAGTAAAACCTTATGCGTATTTGGTAACAAATACGCATTCTCGAAGAAATTGTTTTATATGCCGTTTCCATATACTCCGTGGTTAACCCTAATTATAGCCAGTATAAAGCAATGCCTAGTTCAATATTCCGCTAGTTATGAAACATAATGTCGATATCAATTAAATGTCACATCCCTATCTGTAGATTGTCAACTTTTTGCTTTTGTTCCAAGAAGTTTGTGTGCATAGGATTCTTTGCTTTTATGTGACGAGTAATATATAAAACCTTATTAGATCCAAATAAGTTTCAATTTTTTTTTACCAAAAGTTTTTTATTATTGTCTATTTTCGTTTGATAATTTAAAACCAATCTAAATTATGATATCTTGTACTAATATAAGATTACGTTTTCAAATGTGTGCGTGTGGCGACACCGGTTTTTATACAAATGTTGCTTGATGCCATTTCCATTATTTTCTTTCTTCCATGCTCGTAATAATAATTTCTTCGATGAAAAAAACCATTTATTTCATCGAACGTTTATTCTTCTCATCAAAAAACAAGTTTTACTATTAACATAAGAATGAACATGTGGTCTAACCGTACGACAAATCAACATTGGGCACTTTTGGCAACCGTCATTTAATTTATCAATATTTAAGTAATAAAAAAACAAAAGCATTACAATCATTATGAAACATACCTGCTGAAAGTAATATTGCGATGTTCAGTGTTTGTGATCATCACTTACTCTATAAAAAAGAAATAGAATGGAAAAGTCTAATTATTGCAAAAAATTAAGGCTATCAGAAACTTGTAATTAAGTCAATTAACACAAAATACACATATAAAAAGGACCGTGGCACAAAATTTAACCATTTTATATAGAAAGCAAACAATGTTAATGTTAAAACGGAGTTATTAGCATTTTAATGTTAAATGTGTTGCTCGTTAACAGTTCCTGAACTTACATCAAATTTTATGGCAATGTCACGCAGGGTATGACTATTTATTACATATTTAAGTATTTCTCCAAATCAGTAACTTACAATGTAACCTGCTAAGTAATTTCCGTATGATACGGCTGTTTCTTACACAAAAATCTCATTTTGTAGCAATAGGAGTCGGTAAACTATTTTCAGGATGTAAGTTTGCTGTTTTCTGCACAATTGCAAAAGGTTTTTTAGTATTTGATTATATTACGCGGATGACTAGTTTTACTGCTGTAGTAACTAGTGATCTACATACTGTACTTACCTACAAAGAAAATGTCAGTGCCCTAATGAAATCGTCTGCATTAATACCGTAATTATGCCAACATTCAGTGAACTAATGATCCAAATTTTTGGCTAACGAAAATTTGTTATTTTATTAAGAGCTAGTAAATAAAATTAATACCCTATAAAAAGTTAAAATATTGTCTTATTACCATAGAACTATTAATCAACTGCGCAATAAATACGCTTTTAATCAAATGTCAACAGTACAATACTAATAGTCAGTTGTTTCAAAATGTTGATTCAAGTGCACGACGTTAACACTATATAAAAGGTAACAGTATTTCATGAAATACCATACGCCACTAGTCACCATGATCAAGTTAATTCTGCTCGGAATTCTTGTGGCCAATGTTATACTTATGAGTATAGCGTCTCCAACAAGCACAGGTATGACGTCGTATCATTTATTCATAATTACATAATTACTTTAAATTTAGTACTTATTTTAATTCTATTCAAGAACTTTATCGTAAAATCCTTGTGTTTTTCTAGTTATTTTATTGCTAGATTGTATAAGACTCATAAATCATAATTAATTGAAAACAGATTGATCTACCGCAAATAGCAAAATTTATGTAAATAAATATTTTCACTAAATAGCACCAACTTCAGAATAAATAAATTGTATTAACTGATGAAAAATAAACAAGTTTTATTCAAAAAATTTGATTAATTGTACGTTTTCGGATAATTTAATTTTAATAAGGTAATTTTACGTGGTTTTTACATATAAGGTTTTTTAACAAGAACTTTGTATTATAATTCAAAATAAAACAATAAATTTAGATGACAATGAGTATTTTTTTTTTTTGTATTAAAAAAAGTAAGGTTTGGCAATTACGAATGAAAAATGATAACTGATAAATGTCCACCACGACCACAATTACAGATGTGGATTCTTTCATCAAAGTTTTTAATCACTTTTTGACAAAATGGTGGGTCTATTTCGTATCACTTCACGAATATTGAGTTTTAAGGCTGCAATCGATTCGATTGGACCCCATAAAATATAATCCAGCGGTGTTAAATCACATGATCGAGCTGGCCACTTAACGGCTGAATTTCGTGAAATAATGCGATCGGGAAATTTGGTTTGCAATAAATTCATTGTTTCGGTGGCTGTGTGAATTGTGCCACCGTCTTGTTGAAACCACATGTTAGTGATATCCATATCATCAATAAAATTGAGTTGTTAACATCTCTCGATAGCGTAATCCATTGACCTTAACCTTCAGCCGAATTTTCGAAAAAAAAACGGCTCAATGCCAACGGCACAAGTCACAAGACAATGAATTTTTTGCAAACCAAATTTCCCGATCGCAAAATTTCACGAAATTCAGCCGTTAAGTGGCCAACTCGATCATGTGGTTTAACACCGCTGGATTATATTTTATGGGATTATGTTAATGACAGAGTCTACACGGCCAATCGAATCGATTGCAGCCTTAAAACTCAAAATTCGTGAAGTGATTAACGAAATAGACCCACCATTTTGTCAAAAATTGATTAAAAACTTTGATGAAAGAATCGACATCTGTAACTGTGGTCGTGGTGGACATTTATCAGATATCATTTTTCATTCATAATTGCCAAACCTTACTTATTATAATACAATAAAAATTTGAATCATTGGCATCTAAATTTATTGTTTTATTTTGAATTACAATACAAAGTTCTTATTGAAAAACCCTTTACATGTGATCACGCCTATCCCTCACCAATGTAGGCAGAGACCATAGGCCTCCATCTGCTATGCATCCTCACAAACGTCCTTCGGCTCCTCCACTGCTATTAATCTCTTCATATATGCCCGGACTTTTAGTTTATGCGCTGATTATAAATTTTTTGCCACCTTTACAATCCATCCATAACCTACTCAGTTATTTACCGTTTTATATCTACGTAGATAAGGAATTTCGAACAATACCTGTCAAACGAGACGCTCGTCGCAACTTTCTCAAAGTCACAATACTCATCTCGAAATAATTCGCCGTTGCATAAACTATTGCTGTTGATTTAAGTAATAGTCAGAAAAACAATAGCCAAAGCAGCTGTAGTATTTCAAGTTCAATTCGTAGCAACACTGGTTCTCTCTTGCAGATTGTGACGATGGAAACAAGCCGCCACCACCTGAATGTAAGTTAAACTGATTTTAAGACCCTACTCATTAAATTACAAAAATTCGTTTTTCGATCAGTCCATGCATTTGGGAACCACGATGACCCAAACAGTCATACGTATGTACACAAACAAAGGTGTCCATCAGAATGGTTGGATCGAACGAGATATGCAAACCAAACTAGGCGGATTATTTACTACCTATTTGCTACCTGCAATAAAATGTTTGCTACCTTTGCGCTAATGGATATATGTACTATAGGGAGCGTTCCCTTTACGTCGTAAAGTTTTATTTATCGCTGGACGACTGTCGCTTCTAGCCTGTTCTCATATCTCGACTGCCCGTCGTGACTGTGTCGTGGATTTCTTTTATTATTGAACGACTGTTGCGTCTAGCTGTTCCCACTGGATCGTGACGACAATTTATCGGTTCAAGGTAGCCGCTTAGTCATTTGTACGACAGAATCGTTTGATACACAGCAGTCGCCTCTATGTTCTTTTGGAAATCAGTAGTATGTGTTCGCTCCCGTGTGAAATGGAAAGCGACAAAGATGAAATTTTTATAACGTATTACTTTTTAAAAACGCAGAACAGGAGACAAGTATCTGCAAATAATGATAAATAAAACGTGACGACAATAGTAGCTGCGATTATCTGTCGTCACAACTTTATCGTGACGTTTTATTTTTCATCGGACGACTGTCGTTCTAGCTCTTCCCATTGTCTAGACAGTCTGTCGTCGTAACGTCAAAAAAGCCATGAACGACACTTAATCGTGTTGACAACTTAATATGTGAACAACTACATTTAAATATACAAACCACGACACTGTAAAATGCTCGACTATCTATCGTCACATTATAATGGGAACGAGCCCTTAAAAAATTAAGTTATTGATTTGAATAACAGTCAGAAGAATAGTAGTCAAAGCAGCTGTAGCATTTCAAGTTAAATTTGTAGCAACCCTGGTTCTTTCTTTCAGACTGTGACGATGGGAACAAGCCGCCACCACCTGAACGTAAGTTATACTCATTGTCATAAATGCACGATTTTCGTAACAATTTTATTTTCCTATGTTTTGTAATTTCGTAATAGTATAAATTTTTATTCACTCAATTTCATTTATTGAAATATATGATAAAACTTGTATATAATAAAATTTTAAGCCCCCTGGTTGCAGCATCAAGATTGCCATATTTTTGTGATGTCATCGGATTTTCATATTGTAGCAAATTTCAAATCGATGGGATAAGTTGATATAAAATAAATATTCATTATTACACATCCGTACACTGACTGAGAAAAGAGATGATGATCTTTTAACAACAGATGTTCATCAAACACAGCTAATAATCATACAGGTTCAATTAGAAAAAATCGTTCTGATATCTATGCTTGATATAAAATTGAATGACACCGACGTGTCTGACTGACGTGTGTATACATGTCTGATGAATACGTTTCTAGATTGGCGAAATCGCCATTTTTTTTGTATAATTTTTATAATAATATTAAACTACCGTACATAGTTATTTTTACTTGACATTGGCAAAATCATTGATTATGTCGATGGAGCCATAACATTTAAAAGAAGAAGAAGAATACGTTTCTATGCTTTAACACAGGTAAATGTAAAAAGAACGAGAGATACGAAGTATGCCCAATTGCCCTATGTCAACCAAAAACCTGTGCTGAACTTGGTTACCCAGTTGGCTGCCCAGGCGCGGGCCCTGGCGGCACTTGTCCTGGTAAACCGGGGTGCATATGCATTGATGGTTATTTGAGAAACGATAAAGGCATTTGCGTGCCTAAGAAACAATGTCGTGAGTAATTTCAACCACATTATTAACTTCGAAGGATTCGATAGTATCGTAACGAAAGTCTTCATTTGTATAGCGTAGCAATTATCGAATATCAAGGATCAGCCTAATCACAAAATATAAAATCATTGTATAAGCAATTTTATGCACTTCCCTGCCAGGAATAAAATATTAAAGAATTATAAATAGAAAATTGTTATTTTAACAATTTCTATCGCCTGCATCACTGAAATTAGCTGTAAGCATTAAAATTGTAATCTTTAAAAAAAAATTGTCTTCATCAATCAACATAAATTCGTTATTGCTTTCCAAATTTTTGCAGAAATATTATTTTGCTGACGGGTACGAGTAAACGTTAATAATAAATATATAATTAATACTTAAATTTTTTGTTCCAAGCATCATGTGGAGGTGATACTAATGCAGAATCAGGCTGCGGTCAAAATTGTGGTAGACGATGCTCCAATTACAAGCAGAGTAATGTAGTGTGCCCTCTTATTTGCGAACTCAATGGGTGCGACTGCAAGAAAGATTACGTTTATGACGACAATATCCGCAAATGTGTGCATCCTAAAGATTGCAGTAAGTGACTGGAATCAATGTATTTACTAGGTTTGCTTTCATGAAAATATTAGAAAAAGTATAAGAATAGTTTATTGCGTAAGCACCGAAACACACATGCTCTTACAATTAAAATACGATATTATAAACTTTAAACTAAAACACAGTACGTACTTACAACAAAAGTTAAAACGTAATAATGAAATTTTTATTGAATTGATATTCCATTTTTTTTTGTGAAGTTACTCCACTAGTTTGTTATAATTATTAATACAAAGATCGAACACTCAGAAAGACGTCGTCGGTTCGAACCCGACCGGATCGAAGAATTTTTTTCTGAGTGTTCGATCTTTGTATTAATAATTATAACAAACTAGTGGTAATTTCACAAAAAAATTGAATATCAATTCAATAAAAATTTAATTAATACAGTAAATAGCGATATCTCTCGCCAGGACCGATAGTGAAGGTACTAACTGGGTGATAAATCTTTCATAGATTTCTCATAGATGGCGCTACGACGAAAAAGTCGTTGAAAAACCAAATACAAAGACACGACGCAAGCACATAGAAAAATTCGTGAGGTCCTTTGGTTCGTCCCGTGGCTTAGTTGGTGTAGCGTCTGCCACGGTGTGCAAGAAGACGTCGGTTCGAATCCGACCGGATCGAAGGAATTTTTTCTGAGTGTTCGAGCTTTGTATTAATAATTATAATTATAATGATTAAAAAAATTAAATATTATTATAATAAATGAGTGTCGCGGCCCACGCAAACGGGATTTGCTCTGCTATTAGCTACAGGCTGAAGATTTTCAACCTGTAGCGCTGGTTCAATTATAATTTTTTTATTGTACTAATAAAGTACTTGCTTATATGCTGTTAATAACTTTAAATTCCCGCTCGTTGACACAATAAATCACCCTAAATTCCCGCCCGTTGACACAATAAATCACCCGTGATTAACTATTGTTAAATGTATATTGAAAGGTTTTAAATAAGTTTTGTTTAACCTCTGGTTTGTCTTTGTAGTTTTCAGAAAGAGAAAGAAAACTTTTTACAGCTCCCATTTTTGTCTTTAAACCGAGAAATTGAATATATACTTAAATGGTAAATATTATGTCTGTATCTGATTTTTGGAGGAGTCACCAAATGCATAATGCATTTCGTAATGTGACGTTCATTCAACAAATATGGTAGATTGCAAATGTGTGATTTAATGTGTGCACATTTTAATGTACACCCGGACGAAAAGAACGAATATCAATTTTTATGATCCCGGTTAGGCTAGATTAATATTGTTAGTGGATAATAACCATTGATCCGAAAAAGGAGAGATATGCAGTAGTAAAAACCACCAAATTCATTACGTTTTCCGAAATTCGGATTTCCAGAAATATTTTACTGCATCGTAGGACAAAAATACTCATCTAAAAAAACAAAGTTGGATTTAAAAGTAATTCTAGTGGTGCCATGTAAAAAAATGCAGTAGATATATAATATGGCGGCAGTACTTGCCTGGACGAACTCTCACAAGGAGCTCTACTGCTACTAAAATGGTGATGATGACGAAGATACTAATAATGAATGGTGCTGATGATGCTTATATATAATGCGAATGGTGCTGATAATGCTGATGGTGCGCGTGGTGCTGATGATGCTGATTCTGGTGGTGCTGACGATGTTGATGATGATTATGCTGTAGGTGCTGGTGATTCTGATGGTGCAGATGATGCTGATGATGACTGGCATCAACACCATTAGAATTATCAGCACCACCTCCATCATTAGCACTTTTAGCATAATCATCAACAGCACCATCAGCATTATAAGCACCATCATCATCGTAATCAGCATCATCCGCATCATTAGCACCATCACAGTTGTCAGCACCATCAGAATCATTATCACCATCAGCATCATTAGCATCATCAGCATCAAAGCATCATCAGCTGCATCAGCATTATTAGCATTTTTGTCATTGTCATCACTTTAATAGCAGTAGAGCTCCTTGTGAAAAAGTTACTTTAAATCCAACTTTGATTTGCAACATCGTCGTCCTACATCGTAACACAAAACTACTAGGTGAGTAGCTTTGTCCTATGATGCCTTTGAAAACTTAATCTTATTTTTAACATCCTAGCACCAACATGTGGGGCCAACCAAAGATATTCCACCTGCATTCAAGCCGAATGCCGTCCACTGGACTGCAAAGACAAAGGAAAGAATTTGCCTTGCCCAAGGATCAGACCAGAGTCTTGCAAAAAGGGCTGCGTATGTGTTGAAGGTTACCTTATGAACGCAAATGGAGAGTGTGTGCCAGTAGATCAGTGCAAACGTAAGTTCTTAACTGGTCATAGTCAGAGTTTTAAATAGTATGTTGAATGCAAAGTGCGAGGACTGTCAAAGTCAAAGTCAAAGTCAAAGATTATTTATTCCATAGGTAAA